ACAGAATCTTCTAAAGAGGTGAAATGACTGCTTTCATTTATAAAGTCACTTGCACTGCATGTGTTACAGAATCTTCTAAAGAGGTGAAATGACTGCTTTCATTTATAAAGTCACTTGCACTGCATGTGTTACAGAATCTTCTAAAGAGGTGAAATGACTGCTTTCATTTATAAAGTCACTTGCACTGCATGTGTTACAGAATCTTCTAAAGAGGTGAAATGACTGCTTTCATTTATAAAGTCACTTGCACTGCATGTGTCACAGAATCTTCTAAAGAGGTGTAAGTAGAGAGGGTCACATAGTCAAGAAATTATTTCTCAGTATATTTTTAATATACAGTCATGACTCGCTTTAAGCATGCTAGGGTGAAAAACAATGCAAATGATAACATGGTAATGTACAGCTGTAATAGACAAGTAGTTCAAGGTTGATAAGTTATACATTTTATTTTAGAAAACATTATAAAATAAATTGAAGAAAATGTGATATAAAGTACAGTGTATCACTGAGTCTCGTGCTTAATAGGGACCCCCAGATAATGATGACACCAAGATAAAGAGGCAGAGTTCTCAGGTCGGAGGCTACCAGATTCCATCCAAATGCTGTGAGTAAGCTGTTCAAAGATACAGCTCATTCTAAAATCTGATATGAAACAGAGGAACTCTGCTAAAGAAAACACAAAGCTTACAGGAATGTTTTCCCAGGAGCCAATACTTGCTTTTCAGAGGGGCTAAGAACTCAGACTCTCTTGTCAGTACTGAAAAATCTAGATCAAAGTCAGCACCTTACCAACTGCACAGCCACCCCTCCCCTAAGCTAACAACAGTCAACTGATAACAAGTGAGGGTTAATGTTGAGTTGGGGGGGGGAGGGGTGTGTGCACAGTTGCTCAGATATGGAATGGCCTACCGGACTATATTAGGAAAGAGAATGATTTTAATTTGTTTAAGAGACTCTATTAAGACGCACTATTTTAAAGAGGCCGACAACAACCTTTCTCAAGCTATTGTAGGTTTTTATTTTCTACTTTCATCTTCTCATTTACCTCTTACTTGTGATGAGTTATGCTAGATTACCTATTATGAAGGAAATGCAACAGATGATTAAGCTTTAGTATATAAAGAGCAAGTAATATAACTTTTGTTTAAGTCTTATTTGAGTGTTAGGTGCATTTGATCTTAATTTTTAATGTTAAAGTCCACAATAAAAACAATAGAGTTCGATACTGACTTTGATCTAAGAACCCAAATTACTATCTGTCTGACCTTAAGGCCACAGGATTGAATTGTTTATAGCGAGAAGGTGGATACCATTTTGATATAATTTTGAAATTTGTCATTCTGTGAATGAGTAATGTTGCACTGATTTTTTTACACACAACATTGTTACCTGTAAACAATATAATTTGAATATATCAACAAAGTTGAAATGGTAAATTGGCCACCGTTACGATTATAAAAGCTGACATTTTGAGTGTTAGCCCTTCGTCCGAGCTCGACGAAGAGCTAACGCTCGAAATGTCAGCTTTTGTTATCGTAATGGTGGCCAATTTGCCATTTCAACTTTGTTGATATATTCAAATTATTTCGTTACCCCCACCGACACAGCCCCAAACAGTTTCTTTAGAAACTATCAGCCTTTATTTACCTGTACACAACACTGGGATATTTTTGTTCTCATGGAAAATATCTTCAAAGTCATCTAGTGGGCATTATTGGATGTTTTGTGGTGTGTTTTCAGGAGGAAGTAAACAAATTTGGATGGAAACATTCTGTTTGATACTTTTGCTTCCATTGCATGATAATAGCTGATGTATATGAAAAGCTTGAGACATATGTTCATGAGGTGCAGATGCAGGTTATTGATGAAACAAAATTAAAAAAGGAGTACATGGTGAGAAATAGTTATCCTCAATGTAGCAGTTTTTTTTTTAATTTGTAGGGAATTTGAAGGAGAAAAGCAGTTTGGCTGAGGGAGTCAGAATGCAAAATTTGGAAAATAAACTTTCTCCTGTGCTGCAAAAGTAAGTACAAGTGATATATTTCTCATTAGAGTCTCGGGGAACATATTTGGTACCCTGAAAATGAAATTTACAACATCAAAATAATTTAATTAAATGAGCTTGACTGGTTAAGTATCAAAGAGGCTTTATATAGTACAGTTTGCTATGTATACACTGTACACTCAGTAAATACAATGTAAATAGTCACTGGGATTTTCTCACCAACCCCTAAGCCTCCATCATGAACGGCCTATAAAATAGATCTTAAGTTTTAACCCAACCCGTGAACTTTCTTGTCTTAAGTCCCCCAAGAGTTTACGCAATGTGATTCTCCTTTGAATTTCCATTAATTTTCCTTGTGGGAAGCATGGATTTATGTTTTCCATACATGTACATTTCAATTCCTCTTTGGTTCAAACTTTTCCAGCTCAAAACTCAATGAAAGCATAATTATGAAGGCTACAAAGGTAAAGCTGCACCATCCAGTAGTTTTTAGTATGGGGAACCAGGTTTTGTTGATACAATTTTTGGAGTGTTCAGTCCCCAAGTTTCTATTTCTACATGTACTGTTTCCCCCTATTATTTGTATCTTCCTTTAATTTAATTTTGTTTCTCAGGATCAAGTTATTAGAAAGCACAAAAGAGAAAACTAAAAGGGAATTGAAAGAACTTGAAGATCTCAAGGCAGAGAGTGTAAGGATTAGGTATGTGCAATCAGCTTGATCACTTTCTCTTCATTTTAGTGTAGGAATACAGGTACTTTTAGGAACATCCGAGCCATAGACAAGGAATATGGTTTCTTGTTGGACTCAATGGCCAATTCCTATAATTTTTTTTCCGTAATACATGTAGTTTACATCTGTCCATGTTTGTGATAAAAAAGTGATGACACTGCCAGATAGAAAAACTAGTTAAAAAAAATTCCAATACCTTATTTCAAGTAGTTTCTAAAAATGTTTTGGGTTATCTTATAGAAATTTAGGAAACGAAGCACTGGAACGAGACCTAGAGGCTATTGACTGGGACAAATTAAGCAGCAAATATGTAAGTTGTTTTGAACCTTTGTGCTTTTGCATATTCTGGTCACTTTTTTTTTTTTTTGCACATTAACCTCACCTTAAAAGCCTCTGGGTGCATGTAAAAAGGAACACATTGAAAAATATCTTTTCATTAGCTTCCAAAGCGTTCAGGATTTGAGTGCCGTTTGCAGTGGTGCAACTTTGGACATCCTGATGTCAACCGAACACCATGGACTAAAGAAGAAGATAAGAAGTTAATTCAACTGGCAAAAGACCCCCCAAATACCTGGGATATTATTGCTCAAAAACTACAGGTACAAATGACTATATTAGAAGCAGTTTTTTCCCCCAAAGGCTACACATTTTATGCCTAAGACAGAAACATTTTCTCTGGGTAACATGCTGTTTTTTTCTAACCTTAGTTCCAATTCCAACAGAAAATAATTGATTTTGGTGGTGTGTCCTTTGTTTGTTTTCAGACTAAGCGCACACCTATTCACTGTTATGAGCGCTACCAGAGAAGCCTGAACAAGAATCTTCTAAAGAGGTGAAATGACTGCTTTCATTTATAAAGTCACTTGCACTGCATGTGTTACAGAATCTTCTAAAGAGGTGAAATGACTGCTTTCATTTATAAAGTCACTTGCACTGCATGTGTCACAGAATCTTCTAAAGAGGTGAAGTGACTGCTTTCATTTATAAAGTCACTTGCACTGCATGTGTTACAGAATGTGAAATGCTCTAAGGTGGGAAGAAGGGAAAAGGTTGCAAAGTCAGTAAGGGAAGCATTAGAGGGTGCAGAAATGTCCAAATAGGTTTGGGTTTTCAAACCAAACTTCTCCCGTGAAAGGCGTAGAAGTGTCTTCTGGAACAGTAAGATGTAATGTGGTTGCCTATCTTTGTTTATGTTTTGTTTTGTAATTTGTTTTGTTTTGTTTTGTTTTGTTTTGTTTCCTTGGCTTTATTTAGTAAGTGGACCCCAGAAGATGACCAACAGTTGCTCGAGGTCGTACGTGTTGTTGGCCTTGGAAACTGGCCAAGAGGTAAAAGAGAATAAATGGAAAAGTGTCTTTTTGTGTGTGTGCAGTCGTAACGTTTTGTTTACCTGTCGTTATCTGTTGTAATCATCTGTCCTGACCTCAACACTGTGCCCTTCTTAAAAGTATACGCACTCCCTTGGAATGTTTTGCGGAAATTCTTGGCCGCAGTTGGGGAGGGGGGATTGGGGAGCAGGAATTGGGAAGGGGCTAATTTCCAGAAATTCCAAAGGGACGGGTGGTACCCATCTTGAAAAGTTTTCTGGGTTATGAACAATTTGAAATCGAAATATGTCTTTCAACTTGATAGTGGCCAGTTTCTTAGAAGGTCGCCATGGAGACCAGTGCTTACATCGTTACACACAGACACTGCAGATGGTGAGGAAAGGAAAATGGGAGGAATTTGAAGACGAGGTAAAGTCCCTTAGTAGTTTTATTTTTGAGGTGCTAACGTGATGTGGTGTGCATGTACAATAAAAAAGGAAAGTGAATAGTCTGGGCATTGTGCTCTAAATAGTTTGCCTTTTGAAAGTCTTGCTTTCAAACTTGAAAAACTGCTTTTGACCTACAGAGCAACTAAAATTGAACTTTATTTTTCTTTTTTTATAAGGAAGGAAGGGAATTTAAAATCATCAGCGTTTCCATATGTCAGCTTTCAAGTAAAAAATCTTCACTTTTGCATAGACTAAAACCAAGTACTGGGTTAGAATTTCTCCCCCTAGTCTGCTTTTAATCTAATGAAATAACTAATAACATTTTTATCTGTTGTGGGTTTTTAGCTTCTGAAGAAGGCAGTTGGCAAGTATGGGCCTTGCAACTGGAATAAGCTTTCAGAGATGGTACCTGGACGATCAGGTCCTCAGTGTCGAGAAAGGTGTGTCACTTCGTTTTAGATCCTTGCAGGAAAATATCTTTGACCATACACGGCTCTTTTTTTAGAAATCTCCCTCGCATTAGCGGTTGTTCGGTGTTGTCCTGCAACTCGGTCTCTCTCCGCCAAATAGCTGTTGCGAAGGAAACTTTGAACTCCCACCACCAACGAACCAAAAAAAAACTTAGCGAAAGAAAATAAAATTATGTACGGGAGAAGGAAAGGCCTTTTTTGTCTAATGTATAAAGATGGCTGTGTCGGTTTCTTTCTGTGCTGAACATAAAATGTTCATTGTTATTTGCAGATGGGTAAATGCTATGGATCCAAAAATAGACAAAGGACCTTGGACCAAAGAGCAAGACAAAAACCTTTTGGAAAATGTTGAAAAATTTGGCAAAGGTTTGCTTACGTGTTATGTGAGAAATATTTTTCCCGTGACATTATGTCGCGTTCTGCT